GAAAATTTTGGGAAATGGACTGCTAGTGGCAGTGGAAGCCGTTGTTTCTGTAGCCTTGACTCTGGAGCGAAAACTGCAAATGATCTCTGCTAGATTGCCTTGAACTCGCTCGGGAAATCGGCATCTGTAGACCGCAGCCTAAGCCTAAGCCAAGTCTAAGCCAAGCCTAAGCCAAGCCTAAGCCAAGCCTAAGCCAAGCCCAAGCACGGAATTTTCTATCTCCAAAAATGCCGGATTGCGTAATACAAATATTTTCATGCTGTTTTTAGTTAATTTTAGCTATATTTCAAGCGAAAAAACATTAAAATCAGCTAAAATTGTTTTTGAAACCTCGAAATTTTGGTCGAAATCGGGCTAATTTGATGGAAAACCGTTTTTTTCTGTATTTTTTACAACAATTTTTTATGTTTAAGACTAGTCAAATAGCTGAGAAAAATTAATCTATTTATATTACAAAATTTTGGAACTAAATTAAAGAAAAAAAGTTGATTTTCTTGCGCTATAACCCCCCGGATAATGCAAAAGATCCTAAAATCCCATATTTTATAGCTGGATACGGTAGAGGCCAAGTGCATGTTAGAACGGGTGAGCGGCATGGGAATACTGTACGTTCGTGTGTCCAGAGGTGCAGTGTGTACCTTGCCCCCAGAACAGGACAGACAGAAGACCCACATGGGTGCCGACGATGATGAGGAGACCGGCTGGTTCGAGAAAGCGCGCCGTAGATGATCACCGTTGAAGCAGAACCAAATCCACGGGTTCACGCACGAGTTCAGGTTGCCGAAGAACATGATGTAGGTGGCGATCAAGGGGCCTGGAAATGTGAATAGTAATTCTTGGTTCTTTGGCATTATCGGGGGGATTTTCCTTTATTTAGATTTCCGGAAACCCAATTTATAGGGGTTGTTCTATAGCCTGGCAACGCAATAATAAGAATTTGAACGGTAGATTTTTACCAACGTTTAAATAGCCAAATTTCAAGTGGAAAAATTGCAAAAAAAAAAACATTGAAAATTTTCTGAATTGCAATTTTTGAAACTAGAAATTTCAGCATAATCCCGACAGCGAAATACCGACAAGCCGGAACCCCGACACGAAAATCCCGACATATTCTTGAGGCCACTCCTTTTTTAACAGCTATTTTGCATATCGGGATTCCGGCTTTCAGGGTTTTGTTCTGTCGGGATTATGGTTGTCGGTATTTCGGTGTATAAACCTACTTATAGCCTCCGGATATACAGCGTCGATCACGGAAATGAGACAAAACGGGGCCCACAGCACGAAATTGGCCGCCACGATGGTCATCGTCAGCTTGACGGTCTGGATACGCCGCCGGTCCAGCTCGATTCGATGCACGCGGACTCCTAAAAGATTTTTTCAAGTTTTCCGACAAATCCAGATAAGCGTAGTGATGTAGAAGTATTCTATTGTCCTTTTTAGTAGGTTTAGAAAGATTTTGGATAAGTAAAACTAACTTGTAATTTATAAAATGTTCAAAAATCTGGAAATTTGGTCGAACCCCCCCCCCCCCCCATAATGACAAAGCACCGAATGGACATACCTTTCTGGTGCATCTGCTGATCCTGACCGTTGAGCAGCAGCGGCGTCCTTCTTGAAATAATAATGATCCGGAAAAATGGAGCCTACTTGTCCCGCTTGAAGCTGTCCCCGAAAAGCGTGCTCTGCCACACGGCTCTACATACGCAAAAGTAGAAGTAGCCCGCGCACGCCGACGGCAGCAACCACACGACCATGTTGAACACCACCACGTAGAGGGCGTACTGTAAAAAATTCGGGAAATGTTGCTTACGGGGGGGGGGGGGTTATGATTTTCAAAAAGCCATCAGTTAAGGCATCGAAAATTTACCCTAAAATCTTTTTTTACTTCAGCTCGGAGGGCTTAATTTTAAACGATTTTTAAGTGATAAAACTGTTCGCTATAACAAAGTAAATTTTAGTTTAAGGTATTTGGGACAGTTTTACATCGCGTAATATAATTTTTTACGCTTTATCCGATGGAATTCATGAATCCCGACAAAAGGTCGAAAACATCGAAAAACGAAAATTGCATACCTGCCAACCACTTGTGTAGTTCACCGTACAGTCGCCGTCTTGTTTCCCGAAGATGAGGATCTAAAATTGGAAAATGCTCTCAAATGGCCTCTCGGTGTTCTTTTTTCCTAATGATGATCTACACAAATAATTTTTGAAAAACCTATGTTAGAAACCCGACCGGGAACGGACCCCGAATAATTCCCCCAAAAAGCAAAAAGAATTGCGTCGGCCGGGAATCGAACCCGGGTCGCCCGCGTGGCAGGCGAGCATTCTACCACTGAACCACCGACGCTACGTGGGCAGTGGCTCGGGGCTGCCTGTTGGGGCGAGAGGGGGGCGGGACCTCGCTGACCTGTGGGGTTGAGAAGAGAACGGCCGCGCTCCAGGCCAGCCCCGCGTAGAGCGCCGGCCGGTTGTAGGCTGAAGACTTGATCGAGGCCAACGGGCGGCAAATTGCCTAAAAAATTATAGAAAATTAGCCATATAAAATATAGTTCATTAGAGTTTATTATAAAGAATATATTAGCGCTAAAAGGGCTGTAATTATAGGGGAAAAGGGTAGATAGGAACGGAGCGAAAATGTCACGTTTTTAAAAAAATTAAGTCGAAAAGTTTATTTACTCTAGGTTATTCTATATATAACAATGATTATTTTGACAGTAGAGCTTTTATCAAGCGTCCGATATATTTAAATTACTAAAACAACAAAAAGTTAAAATATAGAGCGCTCTATCGGTCATTTTCAAAAATTTAAGGCAAAAATTTCATTTTTCTAGGTTATTCTATACAGTAAAGCTTTAATTACTTTTAAAATAAAGTTTTATTAACCGTTTTGTATACAAAAGCCTATTTAATAAAAAACGCTTGGAATTGAATAGGAAAAGTTTCCTAGTGTTTTCGCGCAAAAATTAAAGGTGTTTTTAGTTTCGCAATTTTACCAAAGATACACGAAAAATATTAGTTTTTTTTGTAAAATTAGGTTTTATAACCCTTGAAATCTAAATTAAAGCCAGCTCACCTGATAGCGATCAGCGCTGATGGCCACGAGTAGAAAAGCGCTTGCGTACATTGGTAAAACCTTAAAATTACGGATTAAAATATCGACAATACTTATCATAAAAAATTTTAAAAAAGCCGTACAAACCTGGATGAACTTGACGAATTTACATAGCTCATCTGGCCCATGGAAGACGGGCACGGTGAGCGTGATTAGCATGGTGGGGAGGATGGTGACGAGCGCGAAGAGCAGATCCGCCGCACACATGTGGAGCATCAACATCTGAATTTTTGATAATACTTATAGCTAAGTGTAACGTTAAATTATCTAAAAACGTAAAAACGTTTTCACGCGGAAAATTTGGTAAGAAAATAAGCCATTTTTGGTGGAAAAATCAATATTTTTGTATCTTTAAATACAAATTTGTAAAGTTTTACGCTTATTTAGGAATGATAAAAATTATTTACCAACCTGTACGGGCGTAACGCGTTTGCGGCGCAGCACCCTGTTATTCCGTAAAATCACGTAGACCAATAACAAATTCCCGACGAGCGTCAGGATGATGATCATCAGGTGGTGGGCCAACATTGCGGCCAGCTAAAATAACTAAATCAACGACAAAATCATTTTTTACAAAAATATGTCCTAATTTTTATTTCTCTTGCATTTTAGCAAATGAAAAACTATTCAGCAACGTTACAAAAAGTTTAAACTTACTAGGGAAGTGCAAATAAAAAATCTGGAAAATCGCTTAGCAAAAATATGGGTCTGATAGAGTCGACGACGGGGATTCCGAAACTGCAATCAGAATTTGCAAAACGCTTAATACAAAAAAGTTATGAGCATTTTAATTTTTCAGCACTTTTCACGCCCTCCCTTATGAGCCCCTCCCAAAGACGGGTGTCCGCATGTCGAGTGGTGTAGTGGCTAACTAGCCTGCCCCTGGGGCGGAGGGTCTTTGGTTCGGCTCCCCGGTCATGCCAAATTTTTTGCTTTTTGGTCAAAGTCAAGAACTTTAGACTTTTTCGAAGTTTCGAAGTCCGAAATTTAAATTTTTGAACATTTTCTTTACTATTGACTGCGTGTAGGCTTACCTTACGAAAAAACAGAGGTGAATTTTTTTAATGCCGTACCCGTACTCCCGTACGGGCCTACGGGTAGGGCAGTACTTGCACTCCCGCCACCACTTCGTAATCGGTTTCATGAATTTAAAAATTTGAAAAAGTCTAAAGTTCTTGACTTTGACCAAAAAGCAAAAAATTTGGCATGACCGGGGAGCCGAACCAAAGACCCTCCGCCCCAGGGGCAGGCTAGTTAGCCACTACACCACTCGACAGGCGGACACCCATCTTTGGGAGGGGCTCATAAGGGAGGGCGTGAAAAGTGCTGAAAAATTAAAATGCTCATAACTTTTTTGTATTAAGCGTTTTGCAAATTCTGATTGCAGTTTCGGAATCCCCGTCGTCGACTCTATCAGACCCATATTTTTGCTAAGCGATTTTCCAGATTTTTTATTTGCACTTCCTAGTTAGGAAATTTCGCGCGACAATCCACCTATTTTCATCGCAAATTAAGATTTATGAAGTTCAAAACCAGAAAATTAAAAATTTTTACGTTTATCCTACTATATATAAAAAAGTAGTGTTTGTGTGTGTGTGTGTGTGCCACTTTGCATGCAACTTCCGTCAGCGTGTTCCAGTAGTATCTCAATTAGGGGGGTAGCTAGGGGTATGTATGATACGTCATTAGGTACGTAATGGCCTTGGGATGACTGCACACTAACAAAATTTTCAAAAATTAGCTGTTTTCGACGTTAAAATTAAGTTTTTGTTGCAAAATCCAGGACCCTCTTTGTTAGGAAACAATTAGCATGCGCCGGAAGTTGTGGTAGCCTATATAAAGGGAAGAGAGGTAGCGTTTCTCATTTTTTGTTATCAAAAATCGTCGAGAATTATGCAAAGCGCAGAATATCATTGGATCAGACGGGGCCAGGGTTGAAAAGTCGCGAAGCGGCTTTTCAACCCTGGTATCTATTATAAAAATTGCTAAACTCTATTTATGTCAGGAAATTTGGATTCGAAAGCAAGGAGTCTTTGGATCTTTGGCATTATCGGGGGTATCAAGCAGGGAAATCAACCTTTTTTATAGGATCAAATCTTTCTAATGTAATTAAACTAATTTTTACCATTTTAAAACGCGAAAAATTACAAAATTATAGAATTTGATGAAAACATAAAAAGATAGCAATTTTTGCGTTGAAATGGGCAGATTTTCAACCAAAATTTGAGATTTTGTAATATTTCTAAGTTCTTACATTGCTTTTCCACTGAATAGCTAAATTTTCCTATAAACGCTAATACGTCGATTTCTGATTCTGTCTTATGTCGATTATGTCGAATTGCTGGGGATTTCTGAGCGCATCCCCCCCCCCCCCGATAACGCCAATGAACCCGCTATATAGCAAAAAAACAACGCTGACTAACCTGTGGATTGTTGATATCCCAAGCAGGGGGCTCGTTGTGGTAGTCGACGCCATCTCCGGTCGGTGTCAGGTTGGCGGTCATCTTGTGAAATGGATAGATATGGCCAAGATAGGGAGGTTCTACAGATCCCATCGCTTACGGATATATAGAAATTACAAAAAATAGCAATAGAAATACGGAATATCGTATAGAAATCGTACGTCTATAGTATCGTACGTACGTCAATAGATAAGTATCGTACGTAGCGTACGTCTATAGGTAAGTATCGTACTGATCGAAATCACCCGGCAAAAATCGTGTTTATCGGGAATGTATGGGAGGGCTAAAGTGAGTAGGGGCTGGCTGGCTAGCACCGGCTGTTTGTCCTCAGCGACTTTGCTTCGCTTCGCCGCCTTTTTGCCCCGCGTTTTTCTGGGGGGATAAAGTTTTCGACAGCTCGAATGTTTTCCCAAAATATTGCACCCCCCCTATAGAATAGTTCGACTTTGACGTTTATGCGTGTAAAATGGACCTAACGAAATATGAGGGCACCTCGAAATTCGGTACTGTACTGTTAGCGGGGGGGGGGTTAATTTTTGTTTTTTTTCGCCGTAAAATTTGACGCTTTTTATAGTGTATTTTATAGTGTTTTCCGGAATATTTGATTGCTAAAAATTATAAAAATAGTTTTGAAAATTCTGCAAATTCGATTTTGGCCTCTTTCGTCATTTTTATACACTTCTAACCAAAAAGCCAAAAATTACAAAAGTTTCAATAATTCCATAAACACATAATAACTTAAAAGAAAGTATTTTATAGGTTTCCTCCTAAATTTTATCTTTATTTTAATCACAAACCTATCTAAAAGTTTTGGAAAAATCAGGTTGAAATTTGAATTTTGGTCGAAAACGGCCACATCAATACGTTCTTTTTTTGAAAAAGCGAAACCTGTGAATATTTTAGGTTTATCAATAGCAAAAAATCACGTTAAACAATGCATCTATCCCCTCCCCCCGATAATGCAAAAGAACCCCGACGGGCGTCAAAAGAGTGAAACGTCGCCCTGCTGTTGCCCAAGAAATAGCAAAAAGCCCCGACCCCCCGAAGGTTCAATTTCCGGCGCGATTTCAGTTGTTTTGGTCGCAGAATTGAGTTTGAAAAGGGCAGTTCTAGATATGGTACTTCTTCATACTTCTTCGAAGGTCGCTAAAATAGAGCCAACCGCGTGCACTTTACGCGCGTATACGCCACGTAATAAACGCATAATGAGGTCGATTACGCGCGCGAAAAGTCGGGGCCTTGGTTCTTGGAAATATTTGTTAACGCTCCGGCGGGCCGGTGAGTTCCATTCATTAGCCCAAATTGGTGGTGATACCGAGAAATACAGTACTGCGAAAGTAAGGGTAACTTAAGGGCAAAGGATATGCTTAGGCTTAGGCATAGGCATAGGATTAAAGTTAGACTTCCGTTGAGCTTACCATTTTAGTTAGGTGTAGGCTTTGGATTCTTAGGCTTAGGCTAAGCCTTAAACTTAGTTTTAGGCTTAGGCATACTTAGGCTTCGGAATAGGTATAGGTTTAGGACCAGGCTTCCGCTTTGGCTTCGGCTTAGGCTTAAGCATAAGCTTTACAAGGCTAGGCTTAGGCGTGGACTTAAACTTAGCTTGGGCTTAACTTAGTCTTCGGCTTAGGCTATGCTTAGTCTGAGGTAGGGTTGGCATTTGAGGAAACCGGTTTCCGATCTCTTGGATTTGAATCAATGCTTGGATTGACCGGATTGTATTGAAATCGATTTTTCAAAAGAATCCGATCGATCGAATCTGCATAAAAACCGGTTTGAATAGAATCCGATTCGATCGGTTCTCGAAAAACCGGTTTTTGATTCGAAACCGATCGATCGGTTTCGGAAAAAAATCGGATTCCAGGCGAGAAACCGAGCGGAAATGAACCGATTTATGCAGAATTTTGGATGCAAATCATTTTTTGGTGCTTGGCAGGCAGTGGCCCTACGATTTTTTGAAACTAAGCCGTTCTTAGCCTCCAAAAAAATGGATATATTCCTTCCCGACATGATGGCTCTGGAAGTTACGAGCTGACCCCCAATTTCAGCACAAAAAAAAATGAGGAATACCGTGATTTGCATCCAAAATTCTGCATAAATCGGTTCATTTCCGCTCGGTTTCTCGCCTGGAATCCGATTTTTTTCCGAAACCGATCGATCGGTTTCGAATCAAAAACCGGTTTTTCGAGAACCGATCGAATCGGATTCTATTCAAACCGGTTTTTATGCAGATTCGATCGATCGGATTCATTTGAAAAATCGATTCCAATACAATCCGGTCAATCCAAGCATTGATTCAAATCCAAGAGATCGGAAACCGGTTTCCTCAAATGCCAACCCTAGTCTGAGGCTTAAACTTATGCTTAGGCTTCGGCTTAACTTAGCCTTAGGTTAGGCATAGGTGAGACATGATTTTCTCCACGTAAAACTGAACCACCTCAACGAGGATATGACTAGACCCGGCGCGCGAGTTTCCCACGCAGCCCCCATTAGACGAGACGAGGAGCGGAGCCCCAGGGTGAAGTGAAACATTGAAAATTCTTGGAGAAAGTGTGAACCGTGGGCCCTTCGAGGAGGGCGACCAGGCCAACAGCCCACAGCACACCAATTAATATTTTCCCGCACTCCTGGGGTTTAGAAAGAAAAAGGGTCGTTAAGGAACCGGGGGGCGGCCCCAAGATTTCGATTACGTTTTTGAGAAGTTTTTAGGGAACCAGAAGTGATTATGAGATACTTAGGGGGTTAGGTTTATTTGCCTAGTATGATATAAATACCTGGCTATAACCAGGGTGCTAAAATTTAGACTAGACGTCTTACTCGAGATGGGCGCTTGGAAGCACCGGATAGGCGAATTCAGCGGCGATGATTTTGATCACCTCTTACGGAAAATATGGTGAAACGTGGAAAATTTCGGCAGACTAAAATCCTGACAGCTAAAATCCCGTCAGGCCAACAGGCCGACAGCCAAAATGCCGGCATCGAGACTAGCCGTTTAGGGGAATCGGTTTTCAAACTAGCATCAAGGATATGTCGGGATTTTCGTCTGTCGGGATTTTGGCCTAAACG